TGGTGCTGGTGGTGGTGGTGGCGGTGGGGGTGCTGGTGCTGGTGCTGGTGCTGGTGTGGTGGTGGCGGTGCTGGTGCTGGTGGTGGCGGTGCTGGTGCTGCTGCTGGTGCTGCTGCTGCTGCTGGTGCTGCTGGTGCTGGTGCTGGTGCTGCTGCTGCTGCTGCTGCCGTTGGTGTTGATGTTGTTGCTGCTGTTGCTGCTGCTGTTTTTATTCTGCACCAGCATCTTCCCCTGACTCCTTGCAATTTGCATCGCCATCACGTTTATCCTTAAAATGATGCACTGTCCTAATCACCATTCGCCTGACATTGCCTTCTCTTTCTTCTGCTCCCCATCTGCATTTTCAAATCGTCCTCAGTCACCTCACCACCACCACCACCACCACCACCACCACCACCACCACCACCACCAATCCCTTTTGCTGACGGTTTAGCTCATTCATCATCCAGATTGCGCGTGGCTGGTTCACCCGTGCATGTGCCTTCAGCCATCAAGCATCATTCTTTCAAGAGATGAAACGTTATGGGCGTTTATTGACCTTGGCCTCTACCTCAAGTACCGACTAAAGTGAGCTTCTAGGCTGCAGTCACGATTGCCCGGAAATATCAAAAGATGTCCGGCGTTGAAGCAGATGAGAAGTCAGGACATTGGTTTGTTGCGAATCCGGTTCCTTCGAAAGTCGGATTTCTTCACAGTGGCATTCTTGAACCTCAGCCTCATATCCCACCACTGTTACTGCAAAGCTTCTGAACAGCTTTCCCCAATGCTGAACTGCATCTCCAGCTACAGGCCTAGGACACTCATGCAAGCCCCAACTGAGGATCAGACTCTCACGGCCGTTGAGGCCAGGATATTGCGATAATTGATGAAAACATGTGAGCCATAGGCTGAACACCTTATAGAGGGTTGTATGGGGGATTATATAGCGGAGCATTAGAGGGATTATTGAGGGGATACTAGGCGTTTAGACTAAAGCTCACTTGAGTGGGTGCTCGCTGGCCTATGCCTGTAGCCCTGTATGGACCCAATGAACCCGCAAGTGGGACATTTTCTCATCGGGTTGTTGAGCTTTTGTCGTGCCATTTGTGGTTTGAGGTAAACTGCGCCATTTAGATCTAACCAGCCTTGGTGCCAATTTTGTCGGCTTTAGCAGGGCCTGGAGGGAAATTCCAATTATTCCGGTGACTCTTTCATGCAGCTGCATGCCGGAAGGCAATACCAGCTACTTGTGTTACCTTCGTCCTACACGCTATTGCAAAGAACAGAGAGTGCAAGGAACAACTTTGTTGGCAAGACAGCAGTTTGCATGGAAAGGTCGCACACGTTCTCCTTCCTGAGGACGCAGAAGTGCCTTAAGCCTCGCAAGTGTAATTCCCTGAGCAGGCACCACCAGAAGAGCGCGTGCCAAAACCACAAGAACCACACCTGCTTGTCTCGGGCCGCTTCAATTGCCAGAAGAAAATCGATTACATGAAGAAGGTAGCACTCCTGCTGGTGGACCGAAAGGTTCCTGTATACATGGTCCAAACACGCGGGCCCGGCTCTGAATTCTCAATTCCGACAATGGAGGGTCTCTCTGGTGCAATCGGACTGATTGCTTTCTGTACTGATGACTATGGAGCCAGAACAGGCATCGGATATGAGACCTATGTGGAACTGAAGCACGCCCACGAAAACGGTCTACGCATTATTCCAGTTCAGCTGTGCGACACGTTTCCGCCGCAGCCCTCGAAGGATATTGACGGCCGTGGCTGCCAGCAAAATTGCGTAGTACTACGACAGTCTATCATGCGTGTTCAGGACATTGGAATGCAAAACGCAGAGGAGGTAGCTCGCCAGATCGAGACAGCATGGATGGCAATGAGAACGGATTGACTCTGAGATGCCATATCAGGAGCCTCGGATACAAGTGCGAAACTATGCCATTTTGTCCTGTCTAGTTTGAATCCTAGGGAAATGCTGGTTTCTACCTAGTAAAGTCTTGAATCTTGAACAAGCTCCTGGGCAAGGTTGGGGTTGCAAGCTGGCTTCGGGGCTTGCGCAGCAGCATCAGAGAGTTTTCCAGATTTCAGGCCGTTTCCGTCGCTTGCCTCGTGATGCCTGGTGTTCGCGAAGAAGACTGAAGCGTTCCAGCCGCACTAAGATTAGGACAATAAAAGTTGCAATCAGGATCTTCCACTCCATCACATACAGGTATTTCGAGATTTGCCCCTTTGTTACACTTGCAGATATTGGGCATGTGAATGTGCAGCATAACGATTGCTAAGAAGCTCAATTCTTGTATAGGTTTTTGGAACGCTGCATTATCACTTTGCGCCCCAAACTTGAGAACTGAAACACTGCTGCATTTTCTGTTGCAGTTCGGCCCATCCCACCCAGCAACTCGCAATTCCGAGGCCGTACATGCTATGGGTTGCCATGGCATATGCGGCGTGCAAACGACCATTTTTGAGTGAGCCATTTAATTAAGCCTCCATGGCCGTCCCATGTCCGGGCAGGCGCTGCGGCTTGCCTGGCCAGACAGAATAGCAGCTGCGATCCCTAAGGGAACTATCTCAAAGCATGCTTGACCCCTCAACCCTTAGAATGCGGACCTTCCAAGAAGAGCCCGCTTAAGAGCGCATGTCATTTTCGACCTGCGCATTTGGTTTTTGGAGTGTTGCGCGATTTTCACGTGTGGGACAGGCCTCCAAAAGCACTCAAGCAGGCACGACAAAATATGTTTGTTATCTAAAATTATGGTAATGTGGTCACGGGACCCCAACTGTTTTCAATGCTATGGAGAAAACGGGCGGCCTGTTTTTCATGCCAGCCACACACTGTCCCTCTATACTTATCGAAGCATGCCACAAGGCATGGCATTTTGCAAGAAATCGGACTTGCATGCACTTCATCTACGGTCTTTGTTTAAATCGCTGGGATTTTGTTGTGTCAGACATATGGGTCTGGGGGCGTAACTCGGCCCTTGCGTTTTTACACATTTACACATACATATACATATATATATATATATGGTCCCCCGCCCCCAAAACCCACCGTGGAACCACTTAATATGTCCATGCAGATAATGTTGTTTATAGAATTTAGATTGAATTTTAAGAAGTTATTTTAAGAAGTTATTGTAAATTCTCTAAATCGAAGATTATTGAAGATTGAAGATTGAGAATCTTCCATCTTTAATCTTCAGTGTCCGAATAGTTTCAATCGAATTCGTAAATTCCATTTGAATTCTCTAAAGGGGAACATCGAAGATTTGAAAAAAACTTTTCTGCGAAGCTTCAATCTTCAATCTTCAGTGTAGGGAAATTACAATAAATAATTAGATTACATGAAAATTCTCGAGAGGTAAACATCAAAGACTTGAAATATTCCACTTTACCATAGTCATCTTGATAGCGGACTGTTCCTCTGTATACCTTACATATACCCTATAGAATACCACATAGAGTACCTTGTAGATGCCCTGTAGAATACCTCGTAGAATACCCTATAGACGATAGAATACCTTATAGATAAGGTTTTATATAGGGAAAATCAGGAGCAAGCCAACATCTGAGAATTCACCTGTAGCCTATTGACTAAGGGATTTTACATAAAGGACGTGAGAGATCTAGGAGAATAGCCTATAGAATACCTTACAGAGTGCCACCTTTATATACCTTAAAGAATTCAATATATAATACCATAGGTAATACCTGAAAGAATACCCCCTGTAGACCTTGTATATGTATATATATATACATACACACACACACACCTCACTGAGTACCCTATAGCCTATGCAATACCTGAGAGAATACCTTCTATCATACCATCTATATACCATGGACCATATAGAATACCTTATAGAATACCCTGTAGGATGTCCTATAGAATGCCCTATAGAATACCTCATAAAATATATAATCCCTCTATACCCTATGCATACCTTATAGAATACATCTGAGATACTTTATAAAATGCATTCTAGAATACCTCGTCTATATGATACCCTCTGTATCCCCTATAGGTTACTCATCCAATATCCCTTTTAATATCCTATATGATGTCCTACAGATAAGACTTTTTCTGAGAAAAAATTAGGAGGAGCCCAAGATCTGACACTTCACCAATTTAGATTCTAGCTTATTCAATAACGAACTTTAACCGAAGGAGATCAGAAATCTGGGGAATAGCCTATAGAATACTTTACGGGATGCCCCTCTACTACCTTGAATGTCATAAAAAAAAAAGGAGGCGTTTCATAGGACATTCTATAGTGTATTCTATAGGGTATTCCGTAAGGTATATATTGGTGGTATTCCATAAGGTATTCCGACCGGCATTCCATAAGGTATTTTATAGACTTTGGGGTATTTACTTGTGTACAGAATAAGGGATGCATAAGCTACATAGGGAGTATTCTATAAGGTACCAACGATGGCTTTCTACATTAAATTCTTTAAGATGTATATATATAGTCTCGATATTCTTTGAGGTATTCTGGAGGCTGGTTTCC